CATATCTGTCCATAGAGACCTGTACCTCCCATTCCTTTATGACATTCCTAAAGTGTTTCACAACATTGTCAGTATACAGGTTGCCAACACTGTTTGCAATAGCTGTGTGAGGGTGATTTTCATCAAAAAAGGTTTGCACTTTAAGCCACATTGCACACATTTCCTTAATCTTTGAAGTAGGCAACTTCTTCACTTTATGCATCCCCTCCTCCGGAGCAGTTTCCTCAGGTCTGCCCTCTTGCTGTTGAAGATGATCTAGCAGCTCATCAGTGGTTAGTTCTTCATTGTCGTCCTCCTCCACCAACTCTTCCACATCCTCCCCACTAACCTCCAACCCCAAGGACTTCCCCAATGCCACAATGGATTCTTCAACTGGCATAGGATTCCCAGGGTTAGCCTCAAACCCTTCAAAATCCCTTTTGTCTGCACATTCTGGCCACAGTTTCTTCCAAGCAGAGTTCAAGGTCCTCAGTCACTTCCTCCCAAGCCTTACCTATAATGTTTAGACAATTGAGGATGCTAAAGTGATCTCTCCAAAACTCTTAAAATCAATTGAGTTTCTGAGGTCACTACAAAGCACCTTTCAAACATAGCTTTTGTGTACAGTTTCTTTAAGTTGGAAATGACCTGCTGGTCCATGGGCTGCAGGAGAGGAGTGGTATTAGGAGGCAAAAACTTGACCTTAATGAAGCTCATTTCTGCAGAAAGTTGCTCTGCCACGTCTGAAGGATGACCAGGAGCATTGTCTAATACCAGGAGGCACTTAAGATCTAATTTCTTTTCAATTAGGTAATTTTTCAGTGGGGGCAAATGCATTGTGTAACCAGTCATAGAAAAAGTCCCTAGTGACCCATGCCTTACTGTTTTCCCTCCACAGCACACACAAATTAGCCTTGAGGACATTGTTTTTCCTGAACACTCTGGGAGTTTCAGAGTGATACACCAATAAAAGCTTCACTTTACAATCACCACTAGCATTGGCACACATCAACAGAGTAAGCCTGTCTTTCATAGGCTTATGTGATGGGAGTGCCTTTTCCTCCTGAGTAATGTACGTCCTGTTTGGCATTTTCTTACAAAACAGGCCTGTTTTGTCACAATTAAACACTTGTTCAGGTTTCAGTCCTTCACTGTCTATGTACTCCATGAATTCCTGCACATATTTTTCAGCCGCTTTGTGGTCCGAACTTGCAGCCTCACCATGCCTTATCACACTATGTATGCCACTACGATTCTTAAATCTCTCAAACCAACCTTTGCTGGCTTTAAATTCACTCACATCACTAGTTGTAGGCATTTTCCTAATTAAATTGTCATGCAACTTCCTAGCCTTTTCACATATGATCGCTTGAGAGATGCTATCTCCTGCTATCTGTTTTTCGTTTATCCACACCAATAACAGTCTCTCAACATCTTCTATCACTTGCGATCTCTGTTTCAAAAACCAAGTTGCACCTTTGGCAAGAACAGCTTCCTTGATTGCCGTTTTCTTGGCCACAATAGTAGCGATGGTTGATTGGGGTTTTGTGTACAACCTGGCCAGCTCAGAGACACGCACTCCACTTTCATACTTAGCAATGATCTCTTTCTTTATATCCATAGTAATTCTCACTCTTTTTGCTGTAGGGTTGGCACTAGAAGCTTTCTTGGGGCCCATGGTGACTTATTTTGCAGGTGCAATCGCTAAAAAGGCTGTGATATGAAATGTTCCGATTGTATGCTTGGAAGCGACTGCGGTGGCTGGCTTGTAAACATTGGCACCCACGGAACAAGTGAGGCGGGCTCAGGCCGCACGTGGACGCATCTCTAACGAACCGCATTGAGCGAGTTTTCTAGTGCTAGCCAAGGCAAAATTTTTGCGTTAAAATGTATCGCAAGGCGGATTTAACATTATGCGATGCGTTCGTTAGGCAAGGTTCCACTGTATGGAAAAAAAAAAGTTTTTTTTTTTACCTTTGAAAACAAAAAAAAACTTAGATCTACTTTTTTTGTCGTTATATTTGAAAATATGTAAAAAAAGTACAGTGGTCCCTCGCTTTTCGTATTTCTTGGGAATCATAGATTTCGGAAATCATAGGGTTTATTTTTGTATAAACATGGGCTCGCTAATCATAGGTTGACTCACGAATAGTAGTTCCTCCGGGATGCGTACGCACGGTGTGAGCCGGGGCGGCCTCCTTACCAAGCCAGTCTGGCATTGTTTACCAGTGAGCGAAGGTCCCCTCATGTGCTCCTACAAAATATTTCATAATATTCCACTCATTTTAGTGCTTGCAAGTACAGTGGACCCCCACATAATGATGGCATCACATAGCGATTTTTCCGCATACCGCTTACTTTTATCGCAAAATTTTTGCCGCGCATACCGATTAAAAACCCGCTCACCGATTTTCGTCCGAGACGCGTCCAATGTGCCCTCAGCCAGCCTCACATGTGCCGCCCGTCCCATTGTTTACCAGCCAGCCTCCGCGGTAACATCCAAGCATACACTCGGAATATTTCGTATTATTACAGTGTTTTCGGTGCTGTTTCTGGAAAATAAGTGACCATGGGCCCCAAGAAAGCTTCTAGTGCCAACCCTGTGGTAAAAAGGGTGAGAATTAGTATGGAAATTAAGAAAGATTTTGAAGGGTTTGGGCTAACCCTGAGAAGCCTATGCCAGTTGTGGAATCCATTGTGCCTACTTCAAAGATTAAGGAAATGTGTGCACAGTGGGTTGAACTGCAAACCTTTATGGATGAAAATCACCCTGACACAGCTGTTGCAAGCCGTGCTGGTGACTATTTCAATGACAATGTTGTGGCCCATTTTAGACAAATCGTAAAGGAACGGGAGGTACAGAGCTCTATGGACAGATTTGTTGTGCGACAGAGGTCCAGTGACTCTCAAGCTGGTCCTAGTGGCATTAAAAGAAGAAGGGAAGTAACCCCGGAAAAGGACTTGCTACCTCAAGTCGTAATGGAAGGGGATTCCCCTTCTAAACAGTAAGAAGATAATGCTCTCTCCCCTCCTCCCATCCCATCAATCATCACCAGATCTTCAATAAAAGTAAGTGTCATGTAAGTGTGCATGCCTTTTTCAGTTTGTGTGTATTAAAATTAATATTTCATGTGGTAAAAAAAATTTTTTTTCATACTTTTGGGTGTCTTGCACGGATTAATTTTATTTCCATTATTTCTTATGGGGAAAATTCATTCACATAACGATTATTTCGCATAACAATTACCCCTCTTGCACGGATTAAAATCGTTAACCGGGGGTCCACTGTACTAAATAAGCTACCATGGCTCCAAAGAAAGCTCCTAGTGCCAAGCCTGTGGTAAAGAAGGTGAGAAATACATCAAAGCAATGTTTCATAGGTGCTTAACTGTGACCACAGACACTCACTTGACCCAAAGGGAATTTTGGAAAGAACACTTCAGCATCCTCCATTGCATAACCCTTATAGGTATGGCTTGGGAGGGAGTGACTACCAGGATTTTGAACTCTGCTTGGAGAAAATTGTGGCCAAATTGTGTCGACAAGAAGGATTTTGAAGGGTTTGGGACTGACCCTGATGAGCCTATATCTCTTGTTAAATCAATTGTGGCACTGGGGAGTTCCATGGGGTTGGATGTGAGTTTGGAGGATGTGGAAGAGTTGGTGGAAGACCACAATGAAGAGCTCACCACTGAGGAACTGCAAGAGCTTCAGCAGGAACAGCAACAGATCGCAGCTCAGAATCTTGCTGCAGAGGAGGAGGAAGAGAGATGGAAGAAGATGCCTTCTTCAGAAATTAGAGATTTTTGCTATGTGGGGTAAGATGGAAAGCTTTATGGAGAAACATCACCCTGACAAGGTTGTTTCAAGCCATGTTGGCAACATGTACAGTGACAGTCTTGGGCCATTTTAGGGAAGTGTTAAAGAGACGCCAGAAACAGAGCTCTCTCCACAGTTATTTTGTGAGACAGGACTCCAGTGACTCAAGGTGGTCCTAGTGGCATTAAGAAACAGAGAAGAGAAGCAACCCCAGAAAAGCAATTGGTACCCAAGGTGTTGCTGGAAGGGGATTCCCCTTCCAAACTGTAAACAATCCAATCTCTCTCCTCCTCCAGTCTCCCATACACTAAGAAGAATCTCCAATAAGTGTTATGCTGTTAATGTTTCATTCATCATTTCCCATTGTATTGTTTATGTACTACATCTATATTTCACGTAAAAAATTTTTTTGCTTTAATACTTCTGAGTGTCAGGAATGGATTAATTGTATTTACATTATTTCGTATGGGGAAAATTGATTCGCAAATAGTAGATTTCGATAATACCTAGAAATGGAAATGGTATCCTGGAGTTTACCTGGAGAGAGTTCCGGGGGTCAACGCCCCCGCAGCCCGGTCTGTGACCAGGCCTCCTTAGGTCAGTGTCCCAGGATGTGACCCACACCAGTCGACTAACACCCAAGTACCCATTTTACTGATGGGGAACATAGACAACAGGTGGAAAGAAACACGTCCAATGTTTCTACTCTGGCTGGGAATCGAACCCAGGCCCTCACCGTGTGAAGCAAGAGCGTTAACCACCAGGCCACCAGAGCCAACTCCAGGAACGGATTAACTACGAAAAATGAGGGAACATTATAGATGTACTTTTGGAGCACTACGCAGATCTGTTTGGACCATTTACGGGTTAAGGGTTAAATTTTTTTTTTTTTTTTTCAAAATATTCAGAGCGCTGGGCGAGAGAACGCAGATCTACATTTGGACAGTTAAGGGGCTATACACTTCAAACTTTGGAAAGTTTTCAAACATAACTGAGGCAAATGTGGCACTCATGGAGGATGTAGAGTGGATGGGTGGTGTGTGGATGCCATAATAGTGAATCAGGAGCTGGGTAAACAAAGTTTCTGAAAAAATTTGAAATGGCCAATATTAGCAAAGTGCCATAAAGCAGGGCCCTCCTGTATTTATGAAGCACAGTTCTTACTTTTAGTTCAGTGAGAGTAGTGACCTACAGCAATGTACCTTCACTGAGGTGCAGACAGTGTTGACATCTGGGAAGAGTTCCTGACACTTTTGGATCCAATCTTCAGCCTCCATGTTGTACTGATCCACTTCTTCAATGGTTGTGACGACCTCCTTCACAGTGTTGACTGTATTGAGGCACTCCAGCATGGTCTGCAGCTGCTTCTTTCCTGTCTCTCCTTCTGTTGTCATATTCAACACACTGGTATCCTGCTGTTCCAAGAGCTCTATTACTGCTTTGTTCTGCTCCACCAGATCATAAAGTCTGTCCTGCAGTTGGTGGTGCTGGGTCTTCCAGTCCCTCACCTGCCCCTGGTACTTGCCCAGCTGGGACAGTACTTCTTCACACTCACTTATAAGGTTATTGATACTGTTCTTGTGTTCCTGTACCATAGACCGTAACTTCTTGCTGATGCCTCTTGTGCGAGTTTGACCAGGTTTTGCTGTTGGTGCCCTCACTGATGTGACCTGCATACTTTTGAATTTCTTAATGAAAGCCTCCATACCATAATTGATTGGGAACTGAGTAGCAGCTGTGGCACTGTGCTCAGCACGGCAGCTGGGGCAGATTAGTTGAAAATTCTTTATTGTATCTTCAATACATTGTGTGCAGAATGTGTGGCCACACAGCAGAGTGCGTGGCCGTCGTAGTTCTTCATCATAGTTGCTAAAACACACATTACACTCCTCTGGCTTGTCGTTATCCTATAGAAATGAATATAGTTAGATTTTACACTAAAACAGGGTAGAATTATATTGATATTTTATACTGAAGCAGTGTTGAATTCAGCTAAATTACTCATCAATTAATAATTCATATTGAATTTATAGACAATTCTGAAAATTCAAAGGATTGACAAGCTTCTTCATAATAACTACCACACACATCACAAACCAAAGGTATATTCCCAATCTTCATCAACAATCCAGGTGATACATACATTAGAAGTAAACAGGATCAACAAACTAGGTGTCATTATTGTTTGTACAAATACAGTAGTGCCCCACTTTACGGCGTTTCGCTTTACGGAGTTCTGGACATTTCAAATTATGACCAAAACTTGCTATACGGCTTCCCCCACATGACTTTCTAATACAGTCGCCGCGCACCCCACCTGGTTTGTTTACATTCTCCGTGAACTCCGTAAGCACCACGTCTCCTCATGTCTGGAAACTCCAAAACTTAAGTGGTTTTTAAAAGTTTTCATATTTTATATATACATGTACTCTGATAATTATACTTATGTATACCTGTACCTAAATAAACTTACACACTGTGCTGGCGTGCAGGTACACATTAAAATCTGTGTCTCTAATGTCTCGAGATGCCATATTAATAATAATAAAAATAATAATAATAATAATAATAAAAATAAAAATAATAAAAATAATAAAAAAAATAATAAAAATAATAAAAAATAAAAATAAAATAATAATAATAATAATAATAATAATAACAACAACAATAATCACCAAGTCTCATTAACCCTTAAACTGTCCAAACGTAGATCTACATCCACATGTGGAGGGCTCTGAACGCATATCTACTTTTTTTTATGTGCTTTCAAATGGGGAAAATCAAGGTCGGAGCACTACACAGGTGAACGTAGATCTATGTTTAGACAGTTTAAGGGTTAAATGTCGTATAGAGAGACAAGCAGACAGACAGATAAGCCGAGACAGATAAACAGCTAGACAGAGGACACTTCTGTGTGTAACAGTGAAAACAAATAAAGCCAAGGCAGTGCATGATCGTCTTACACCATGCTTCAAGAACTCTCGTATATATATCCCCATGTGTCCAAAACATTGTTGGGACCTATAAATACTATGTATATATTTCTAGACAATAGTATGTGACTAAGGTAGGTGAAAATGTTCACCAGTCAGTGTGTGACTATTTGAGTACAATTTCAGTACCTAAAGTTAATGTCACAAGAAAGACTAGCTATGAAATCACAAGAACTACTACAAACTGTAATATCAGAACATAAAAAGATGTAAATAATGAAAAAGAATGTTATACGAATACAGTGAGAAGTCCGAGTAGATCTATAACCCTCTATGATAACATGAATGTAGATAAGTATGTTTATGGAGCAACTTGCAATGTGAACAGACTGACTGATGTTGTGTGACCAGGCTTAGGCTTGGTTACAAGTACTTCTGGCAGTTTGGGAGACACACAGATGATCAAACTAAATGCAAATTATGTGGTCAGGCATATGGTCACTCTCTTGAACACTATGTGCTTAAGTGTCCACTAATTAAGGAATATAGAAACAGACATTATAATAACCTATGTGACGTGTCAAGATATCTTATTAACCTGTTAGCTGTCCAAACGTAGATCTACGTTCTTATCGCTAGTGCTCCAAACGTATATCTACTTTTTATTTTTCCTGCCTCCAAATTTGGCACAATTCGCCTAAGATGCCTGGTCAACATAGAATGGGTCTTAACCCTCGGTGTGTGCAGTATTAAAAATACTATCTAGGAAAACATAGTACCTTGTGGGAGCACCAGCTCAATTGAGTGCCAGCTAGAGCAAACAGCGCAGCCAATACCAAGGATTCACCGTGTCATGTCGTATTAGCACTCCCCGTTTCAAGAGGAAAGTGTCATCCTGCCAGAATGTCCTATAACCTATGTCCTAAGTAAAAAGAAAATTCTGGAACTGTAATTTCAGCAGGTTGGCTGGCGACTTGCTGGCCACCTGGCTGGCTGGCAGCTGGTTGGCTGCCTCTATCTCCATCTGCCTGCACCTCTGTCAGCCTGCGCCTGTCAGCCTGTGCCTCTGTCAGCCTGCGCCTCTGTCAGCCTGCGCCTCTGTCAGCCTGCGCCTCTGTCAGCCTGCGCCTCTGCCTGTCTGCGCCTCTGCCTGTCTGCGCCTCTGCCTGTCTGCGCCTCTGCCTGTCTGCGCCTCTGCCTGTCTGCGCCCTGCCTGTCTGCGCCTCTGCCTGTCTGCGCCTCTGCCTGTCTGCGCCTCTGCCTGTCTGCGCCTCTGCCTGTCTGCGCCTCTGCCTGTCTGCGCCTCTGCCTGTCTGCGCCTCTGCCTGTCTGCGCCTCTGCCTGTCTGCGCCTCTGCCTGTCTGCGCCTCTGCCTGTCTGCGCCTCTGCCTGTCTGCGCCTCTGCCTGTCTGCGCCTCTGCCTGTCTGCGCCTCTGCCTGTCTGCGCCTCTGCCTGTCTGCGCCTCTGCCTGTCTGCGCCTCTGCCTGTCTTGCGCCTCTGCCTGTCTGCGCCTCTGCCTGTCTGCGCCTCTGCCTGTCTGCGCCTCTGCCTGTCTGCGCCTCTGCCTGTCTGCGCCTCTGCCTGTCTGCGCCTCTGCCTTGTCTGCGCCTCTGCCTGTCTGCGCCTCTGCCTGTCTGCGCCTCTGCCTGTCTGCGCCTCTGCCTGTCTGCGCCTCTGCCTGTCTGCGCCTCTGCCTGTCTGCGCCTCTGCCTGTCTGCGCCTCTGCCTGTCTGCGCCTCTGCCTGTCTGCGCCTCTGCCTGTCTGCGCCTCTGCCTGTCTGCGCCTCTGCCTGTCTGCGCCTCTGCCTGTCTGCGCCTCTGCCTGTCTGCGCCTCTGCCTGTCTGCGCCTCTGCCTGTCTGCGCCTCTGCCTGTCTGCGCCTCTGCCTGTCTGCGCCTCTGCCTGTCTGCGCCTCTGCCTGTCTGCGCCTCTGCCTGTCTGCGCCTCTGCCTGTCTGCGCCTCTGCCTGTCTGCGCCTCTGCTGTCTGCGCCTCTGCCTGTCTGCGCCTCTGCCTGTCTGCGCCTCTGCCTGTCTGCGCCTCTGCCTGTCTGCGCCTCTACCTGTCTGCGCCTCTACCTGTCTGCGCCTCTACCTGTCTGCGCCTCTACCTGTCTGCGCCTCTACCTGTCTGCGTCTATCTGTCTGCGTCTCTATCTGTTTCTATCTCACAGGAACACGCATGTAAATACAGTTATACATAACATAACTTACCTAGGACAACCCAAAAAATCCAGACAAATTGCTATACTGTGCTTGTAGATAGACAGCATGTGTAATACCAGCTTGTTCATGAGCAACTCTGAGACAAGAGAGATAAGCAGACAAAAACACACAGGCAGACAGAAAAACAAACAGAGAGCTGGACATTATTATTATTATTATTATTATTAAAATCAAAAAGAAGCGCTAAGCCACATGGGCTATACAGTGCTGCGGGTTAGGGAAGGAAGCGGGGGTATTGGGCGGCAGAAGGGGGGAGGGATGATCAGTAGATTACAGAGAACTGCGGGGCAGGGGATAGTGCAGGGGTAGAGGGCAACAAAAAATTGAGGTATAAAGAGCTGAAGGTGTCAGAGTTTGTGAAGTCAGTCAGTCGTTGTCAAAAAGTCAATGAGAGAGTACGGATGAAAGGTGGGTCCATCAGCAAGAAGGGAAGGTAAAGAGAGAGCAGCGGAGCGAAGACGACGATGGAGGTATATTCTGTGTGCTCGTTGATAAAGTGGGCAGTCTAATAGAATGTGGCTAACCGATAATGGAACCTGAATATTCTCACAGAGCGGAGCAGGGCGCCTCTCCATGAGATAACCATGAGTAAGACGAGTATGGCCAATGCGAAGACGGGAGAGAATAGTCTCTCAACCTCTACACTGGTGACAAGAAGATGGCCAGTAACCTATACTCGGTGTAATAGATTGAAGTTTGTTACCGAGCAGAGTAGACCAATGTTGTTGCCAACGGGTGTGAAGGTGGGTAGCTATTGCAGCAAAATAGTCTGTAAATGGAACACCTCTATATGAAACTGGTAGGTCATGTACTGCTGACTGCACAGCAGTGTCTGCCTGTTCATTGCCCTGTACGTCAACATGACCATGGACCCAACAAAAAACAATATCTTTATGCTTGGAAGAGATGAAGCGTAGCCAAAGTTGGATACGGAGGACTAAGGGGTGAGGTGTATCAAATTTCTGTATAGCCTGTAAAGCACTAAGGGAGTCTGAGACAACCACAAATGATGACACAGGCATAGATGCAATACGGAAAAGAGCTGCAAGAATGGCATACAACAATTCTGCAGTAAAGATACTAGCCGAAGATAGTAAATGCCCTCGTACGACGCTGTCCGGAAACACTGCTGCGAATCCTATGCCGTCAGAAGACTTAGAGCCATCTGTGTACACTGCAATGGCATGAGAATGAGAGTGGAAGTGGTCAAGAAAAAGAGCGGGAAGCGACCGTAGACAGTTGGGCTTGCGAGCAAGGGAGTGAGAAAGAACAGACTCGAACAGCTGGAACTTCCAAGGGGGGTAGGGAAAAGCGAGATGCTACATGAACATAGAAAGGTGGTAATTGAAGAGAAGACAAGAGTTAATGTAGGCAAAGGGGAAAGGGATGGAGCAAACAGGCGGCGAACAAATAAGGAATGTAGTATGAGGTGACTAAAATGCTGGGAGCGATGGGGTAGTAAACCCTTCTCCTGTAGACATTTACTAAAAAAGAAGAAAAACTTTATAAAACTGGGATGCTTGAATGTGCGTGGATGTAGTGCGGATGACAAGAAACAGATGATTGCTGATGTTATGAATGAAAAGTTGGATGTCCTGGCCCTAAACGAAACAAAGCTGAAGGGGGTATGGGAGTATAGGTGGGGGAAAATAAATGGGATTAAATCTGGAGTATCTGAGAGAGTTAGAGCTAAGGAAGGGGTAGCAGTAATGTTGAAGGCTCAGTTATGGAAGAAGAAGAGAGAATATG